AAAATTGTTTCTTATTGTTCTGAACTGTAGATCCCACCTACAAGCGTGCCGGTGATCGTGCGCGAGTATCGGAGAGAGCACCTATGGATATAAGGAGGTTGAAAATGAGCCTTCGTTTTGGAAGGATGCTTACTTGTGGTAGGATGAATGATAGATGTTTGTTGCATGTGACCGTGCAAGAAATAGCCGAAGCATGCTGCAAGGAGTTTTTTTTTTTAATCACAATCTGGACTTAGATACAAACTTTTGGCTTTTATTATGCCTTACTGATTCAAATTTTGATTTTGGTAAATTAACGGTTAGCTAAAGAGTGCGATATTGTTGCCTCTCCTCACAGTTTTCCAGGTGTTCTTCTGGGAAAATATAGTATTATGGCAGAGTAAGGTTTGAAAAGGTCGATGTTTATTGGTCGGTCGGAACACAATAAATAAATCATCAACTTTGTAGAATTTATTTGAATCAATGTATGAGATTTTAATTGTTCCTAAACACAATAAGTTCAGTTATATTATCTTTCACTTGTGTTGTAATTTCTTTAGTACATATGATTATTGTTTTATCATTCACTCGTGGACCTAAACACGTGCACTCGGAACATGCGTCTGGGTTGGTTTAAACACTGCACTCGGAAATTAGTCAAGATTGAGTTAAAGACTTGCACATGTTTAGATCCATAAAACTGAACTATCAACCTCCTCGATTCATCCATATATCTATAAAATTGAAATTTTGAATAAATAATTTTCAGAATCTTAACATTCCCATATTAATTTATTTTTTGCTTTTTTTTCTTAAGACAAAAAAAAAATAATAATAATAAATAAAAATAAAAAGCAAGAAAAATAATCTGATGCAGTATTCACATGCATATATAAAATACCAAAATCTTCTTCTCCAATAAAACCCAAACACAAAACTTGATTGGCAAAGAAAAAAAGAAGGAACGACCGAACTAACAAAACCCGGTTCAACAACTGAGCCGGCTGACATCTCTGGGGAGTTGTACGAAGAAAACAAATATATATATATAAGAATATAAGAATATAAGAATATAAGAAATTGAAATTCCCGGTACTAAAATTACTTATGATAAAGATGAAGCTCAAGCTCCAGGAGCCGCATCTTTCACCTTACTCTGCAAATACCCTCCATACTCTCGCGCATAATCCTTCACATGGCTCGCCGTGTCGTAAATTCGGCTCCTCGCGTACTCCAGCCCCTCCGATCCTGGCGGGTGCATCCCCTTGAAGTACCTGTACGCCCAGGAGAACCCCGCAGCAGAAACAAGCGCAATGCCGCCCAGTGACAACACCCCCGCCGTCGTCGCGAACAGGAGGAAGGCCAGGGGAACCCAGATGGGTGATGTGAAGATGATGAAAGGGGTGAGGAATATGAGGGCCAGGATGCCCGCCGTTAGGGTAACACCCGTCAGGAACATCAGGATGGAGGCGGTGATGAAGAGGGTCAGGAACCCGAGGAGGTGCGGGGAGTGAGGGGTATGGTCTTGGAACCTCCGGAGGAGCGTGGAGGCGGCGGCGGCGCCGGTGGGGGTACGGTTGTCGGCCATGGCTGAGGGAAGGAAGTGTGGTGTGAAAAGAAAAAACAGAGAGTGGTGGAGGTGCGAGGGTTTTAAGGGTATGCGGGGGAACTGCAAAGGGATACGCGTGGTGGGCGTTGAGCTTTGGACGCCCTTCCTATGGCTGACCCTTTCTTTTATTTCCAGTTTATTAATTTGTTAATTAGTTGGCCTATATTTGGCTTTTTATAACAGTTTGTTAAGAGGGATTTATTGGGTACCAAAAAAACATTAAAATGTTTACAAATTAATTCCGAAATAGTTCATTAAATGTGTTAATTAAATTCATATTGTGATATCCCTTTTGATGCTGCTTTTTGTAGGAGATGAGACAATAGATTCACATCATACTCATATAGTTGAGAATTTATTTCAAATTTTTGTAAAGAGGTAAGTTGTAAGTGCACATAACTACAAAATTTTATTAGGAGCCTTTTATTCATGGACTAACATCATCTTCTTGTTGATTTTGTGGTGTCTCTAACCAGGTTTGGACCATTTCCACAATGAGGTTCGAACTTTTGCCGAGGACGTCCAAGTTTTCTATCAAGAAGGTATTGTTTGTGATTTTACGAAAGAATGAAAATTTTGTGTAAATCCCATATTGGTTGTGAAAATTTTGTGTAAATTCTATAGTTGTAGAGGAGAACAATGAAAATCTCTTCATAATGACACATTTTAAAAGTCTGAAGCTTATGGGGATATGTAATAGGCCAAAACAAACAATATCTGCTAGCCTCCTTAAGGGATTTGGAGAGTGGAACGAAGCATCCCTAAGAAACCTCTCTAAGACTAACACCCCTAAGAAGGTGGAGAGTGAAACAAAGCATTCCATTCCTAAAAACCCTAAAAAGAAAATGAAAAACCCTAAAAAAAAAAAGAGGAGTGGAACAATATTTACTAGGAGAGTGGAATGGAACAATATCTATTAGGGACGTAACCATGACTGACGGGCTTAGTCCAAGGCACATCAAAATTTGATTTGTTAGAATGTGATTATTATTTTTCCCCCATAACCCTCAAGTGGGAAGTTATCACATGATCTTATTTTCAAAGTCAACCTCTTTTGGTAACCCTCTCAAAATAGCCCCAAAAGATATATATATTCATAAATTTCATCACTATTACAACTAATCTCAACCAATTAATATTAATTATTCACTCCCTTGTTTCCTGCGACGTGCCGTGTCTTCTTCTTCCCTTCATTCATAATAATTAATGCTTACAGATGTAATTATTGGATATAATAAACCCTTTAATCAAGTACATAATCCAGTTTCCTGAATTGGGTGTTCTAAGTTACCTCTGTAAATTACAGTAATCCTGGTACAGATACAAATGGATTTTCATTTTACACAACTATAAGGAAAACCATATACACATACATATGATGTTTTCTTTGTTCCCTGATTTTCTTTGGGAAGTTATTCCCTTCTTTTCTTCTTTTCACTTTGATGAAGAATAGAGTTCAACAAAGATGATTACAATAGAATGATCCAAATAATCATAAATAAAGATTGAAAGTTTCAAAAAAAAAAAAAAAAAAGAACCTTTTCTTAATGGTGCAATGGATTTGGACCAGTCGGGACGAGTCGTTTTTCGACGCCGTACCGGGGATCGATCTCCGCTGCAGCTGGGGGAGAATTGGTGTGATGGTGGCGGTGGTGGTGATGGCGATCACGTCGTTGATGGAGATGGTGAAGGAAGATGGTGAAGTCAAATTTGAGCTTTCTGTTGAGAGAAAAGGAGGAGTTATTTGGGTTGGCATGGAGAGGAAGGGCATGAAAGAGGAAGGTTGAAGAGGAAAGGAGGAGGAGGAGAGTAATGAATTTGCAGAGGGTCAAAGGCATTATGGATAATAGTAATGACAAGAGAATGGGTGTGGAGAGGGAGAAGGAGAGAAAGGACTGCATGGAGAGGAAAAAGAAGAGCAAGAAGAAAAGGGAATTAGAGAAGTAAATGAGAAAGGAGGATTTAGCGTAAGAAATGTTGAAGGAGAAGAAGGTTGACATTGAAGAAGAGAGAGAGGGAGAGAGAAAGGAGGGGACAAAACTGTGGAGAATTCTTGTTTCAATGACAACTTCCTTTGCGTTGAAGGAACAAAGCCTCATTTAAAGCAGATTGTCAAACTTTGAATTATATATTACCAAAACCCATTGACAGAGAGACACAGAGAGATTATAAAAAAGAATAGAAGGAAGAAGGGAAAGAGAAGAGCTGACTTCTGAATGCAACTTTAAATTTTATCAAAGTTTAGAAGTGGGTGTGTGGGATGGTGGCTGTTTTGCAGATTTCAAGGTACAACTCATACATACTATTACCATATTCTTAATTTTCAGATAGGAAATGCTTCCTATCTCTCTCTCTCCCTACTGCTGTAATTTCGAAACCTTTTTTTATAAGGGTGTGTAGATCTCTCCCTAACAAACGCGTTTTAAAACTATGAGGCTGACTAATCTGTTGGCGGTGAGCTTAGACTGTTGTATAAAGAAAAGCCTTGTTTATTCCTCCCTCCTCTTCTAGGCTCTAAGGCTTTAACTAGGTGTGTGCCAATTGCGCCTGGTTGAGATGGATATGGGTGGTGGTGGTGGTGCTTGGAATAAGGGAAGCCAACCAGGAGAGTAAGCAACACACAAACAACAAAGATCCAAAGATCCAATATGGTTGAGTGTGCAAACCCCAAGTTCCTAAACAATATTTTTGCTAAAAACTAAGCATCCCCTTTTCTTCAGGAAGTGGGAATATGGACTTTTGAATGCCTTTTTTTCTGAATCACTCTGTCGGCTATGTCCCCCTTAGATGACACGCTTATCTTGTCACTTCATCTAATATTCACCATCCGATCATTCACCATATTGTAAATGGGGGCGACAATTCTTATGCAGAAATGTCGGCATGGGTTGGGAAAATTCATGAGAAGAGGGAGGAAAGTCAAATCACCCCCCACCTACTTACACTTTCACCAAATAACACTCACCAAATTCTTGTGTATTAGTTCACATTTGGTATATCGGAGTGGATGGCCTTCATCCTGATGCCTTGTGGCCTTCCTACTTCTTTCCACCTACCCCACTAGGATTGTTTCAATCACTTCCTATACTTCCTAGGAACAGTAGACTTCCTACCTAGCTAAGAAGTTATGCAACCTCCTCTATTCTAAAAGTTTATAACAATAAAGCTGGGGATCAGGGCAACATATTAAGAGGATATAAGACAAACCTTTGAGAAGAGAACAGTTTTATGCAGGATTATTACCTTCTAAATGCTGCATTCTACCAAAAACAATACGAAAAAACTATACTAACTCACTCATCAGACGATATGAGAATATAAACATACAAACAAGCACATGCATTATGAAATATTCAAAAAGATATCGTACCTGATATGCTCTGTTGTTCCTACAGGGTGAGAAAGGTGAAAATGTCTGGAAATCGCTGTCTTTATTTCTAAACTTCTGTATTGGCTAAACAAGTAAAAGTTATCGTAAAATACACGTTTGCACACGTGTCGTCCCACTGTAATTGGTAACTAATGGATTTACATTCCTTGAATCAATTAAACATCTATTTTCCTTCATCTTTTCTTCCCACACACCAAACTGGTAAAGAACAATTCAATTCATCAGAGCCCCCAAGATGAAATATCAGCAGTAAATCAAGCAAGTATAGGTTAGGGATCTTTAAAATCGGCTCTAATATAACAAGTAACACGACTGCACAAGATTAACTACAGAGCTCCTACCGTAATTCACTAAGGCCTTCCAGATGGAAGAAAGGCAATATCACCTTGTATCATATATTGGGGTATAAAATTCTGTTTGCCTCTTCAACCTTCCTCCCAATCCACATCATCTTCTTCTTCATCTTCTACCGAAGCTGATGCTTCAACATTCAAGTCACCAACCTTGTAATTTTCATTTGCGTTACCTGTAATACGGCAAGAAAGGCAAGGTTCCTCCTTAAATTCCAACTTACTTTTACACATAATAAGCAGGATATAAACACCATAAAACACTTAAAGAGTCGAACGTGGAAAAGAAAAGCCACGTCTCACCCTCTATTGGAGCCTCCTCCCATTCAATATCATCTTCTTCTTCATCCTCTTCACGTTTTGCCTTCATTCCTACCTGGCGACTGGAATTTGTGTAAGACAAGTTTTCAGTAACCTCTGTACTGGATAATTCCTTTTGTGCCTTAGCAGCTTCTTCAAGCTCTTGTTGCTTCTTCAGTATAGCAGCATAATAAGCTTTAACATACTCATCCTACAATACAGCCAACCAGTACATAAATCATATAATCTCTTTCAATTTTTATGATTAAAAAAACTCTTTAATTCATAAGAAATGAAAAGAGCCAGTCTAATTGAACGAACCTGTATATTCGTTTTATCATCATCATTGGCCGATGACTTTTTATCATCAGAAAACTGAGCAGAAGCTGAACCAGCATCCATCTTTGAGTCCCCTTTGACCTCCCCGCGTTGTTCCTTTGTGAGGTTCATCCCTTCTTTGATCATCCAAGGAGGTAACACTTTCAGAGCAGTGTTCTCAGATTCAGATTTAACATTCACTCCCTTGCCCTCAGCCCCAGAAAAGGCAACTTCAACCTAACAGGTTCATTCAAAAACTCATGAACGTTAGACTGGTTCCTTTCAAGATCCAACAATATAACAAGCATGAGGTGAAAAAATGGGATACCTTGGTCTCGCCAACAAAAGGCATAGGCGTTCCCCCATATCCTAAACCTTGTGATGATTTTGAGGGATCATTGCCATTGAGATCACCATTTGCACCACGTGCAGCTGCACTTGCACGAGCTTCCCATGCTAAAAGAGTTCCAAACTCTGGAACTGGCAAATCTTTGACTCTGCTGAGTTGTTCCATTAAAGGTTTAAGCTGAACCTACAATTATTTGATTTATTCATCAATTTAGAAATAGGAAAATCCTTTTCTAAAACTCAAGGGAACAAACACAATTCATAAATTATTTCAGAAAAATGGCTTGAAGATGAAGGTCAGTGTTATATTCAACTAACAAATGTAAAAAAACTCCAGCAATCAATGATCCCCATTACAGCATAGAGTTATACCTTGTGTTCTCATATCCAGGATAAAAAAATTTTCAAGATCGTTATGATTAAATATATATATATATATATATATATATAGAGAGAGAGAGAGAGAGAGAGAGAGAGAGAGAGAGAGGGGGGGAAAAAGATTTGAAGTTGGAAAATAAAATTCTTTTTCAAGAGATCAAACCTCCATCTTCTGAAGCATGTCCTTCAATTTTTCATGCCGGCGCTTCCTGGCATTATCATCTCCATCCCCTCCTTGGGCAGCAGCCAGTTTGTCACTCTCAGCAACCAGCTCGCCATTGCAATTTTCACAATGGAAGTATTCATCCTCAAGAGAGATTAATCGAAGAGCATCCAAAGCAGTGTACCTAATCAATATCATTAAATTTTCAAGCTTGTTTCCAGATTAAAAAGTCAATAACAAGCGTGCAGTGCTGTGATTCCATCCAGTTTAAAATTACAAAATATCAGAAAGAACATTTCTTAAGAGAAAAATAACATATCATCAAAACCTTCTCGAACAGTTGGGGCATATATACTCTTGAACTGTGTTCTTGTCCTCCAGTTCATCTTTCAGTTTTTTCTTCATGCGGTGCAGTCTGTATCTAACCACATCATAGACCTGTAACCAGGATTATACTAAGGGAACTGACCAGAGTTAAAGTCTGTTTTCACTGGGTTTAGATACAATTATTATTCAGCGATGAAGCAACTAATTGAAGTACATATATAAAAGAAACCTGTGCATAGTCTAGCGAGCAATAAGAATGTGTGTGCATCTTAATCTTTTCATCCCCCTCCTTCCCCGGGTGTTGGCCATCGGCTGTGGCAGCAATTGCAGCGCTAAATATCTTTGCTCCCTTAGCTGTCTGGAAAAGCAAAGAGCAAAAAAATGAAGAGCATGCCTATTAATAACTTATTGGACACAAAATTGAAAATGTCTGGAAAAGCATATCAACACAAACTAAAAAGTTCATCACACAAAATTGAAAAATATGAAAATGAAAATGACTTATTAGACACAAAATTGAAAGTTCAAAGATTTATTAGACACATTTTAAAGTTCAAGAACCAAATAGACACAAACCAGAAAGTTCAGCACATAACTTATAATTGAACCCAAATTGAAACAAAGTACACCTGGAGGCAACAAAAACGGTAACTTCCCAAGGTCTCCAATGGCCTTGTCGTTCCTTGAAACAATTCTCTGTTTATTTTTAACAAAATTTCCCAAAAGAACGAACAAACTTCATTCAACATAAGCACCTTAGATGCTATAGACAATCAAGTTAAGATGCTTAAAACTTCATACTAAGAAATTCCAATTTACTAACCTAACAGGCACAGTAACAAGATGCATTGAAAGAATCGGCACTGACCTCCCTTCTATGATCTCGGGTAACCAATTTTTCCTCTTCTAAAAACCTTAGAGTTCGACGTAATTGCTTCGAATGTAGTTTTAAGTTCTTTGCCAAATCTTCTTCTCGAACCCATTGTCGTCTAGAACAGGATACGAAAACAAATGTGATAAGCAAAGGAAAAATGTGGCTGTATAACAGCTCGCCAGGTTCATGTTAAGCATGCATGGCTTCGTCATCATAACAAATTCAAGAACAGAAACTCTATGACATAAAGTTACAACCCTCAGACAGGTTCATGTTCCAAATCCTTTATAATAATAGATTAAGAAACTTGAAAATGACATTTTTCAATTAGCTATTTGCTCAGACCGTCTGAAAATTTTAACTTAAAAAACAGGATAAGGTTCTTTAACAGATGAGCAAATTATAAGCAAAAATGAAATGATAAACTCAAGTTTGAAATAATCAAAAGTACAACTAAGCTATTCAGTGAGCTATATCAATGTGAATAACCTGCATCAATGTGGCCTTTCTTCAACTTAGCTTAACTAGAGAAATAACGTATACAAGAAACACATATAAACAACCATAATATGCAGTTGTTCCACACCAGCACTAGCTGAATTGGGTGTACAATACATATAGTGCCCAGCTTAGGCTGGAAATAGAACTACCAAGAATCCGGTATAAAGTGCATTACGCTCAAATTTCCACTATTCTAATCTTATTCAAGCACAGTTCCTGCCTAGAATTCGTTCCACTAATGTAGCTCTGCCTCCCCAGCTTCATAACGAAAAATTGAGCGGCAGAATTCTGCCTTGTAAAAACACTGAAGATTGCCAAGTAAATAAAAACGCCAAAGTGCAGTACCTCGTGAGAGCATCAAGCACGACAACCGCGATTCCCCTATTATCACTCCGACCGGTCTTGGGCTGATTATCTCCTTTAGTCGTAATGTCATCGTAGAAAGCTCTTGCAGCTAGCTTCACCAACCTGCCCAATTAATCAAGATCATTCAACACACCAAATTAAACAAAACCCAGGAAGCTAATGAAAAAATAAAACAATCCCATTGTTCACAGCTAGAGAAGATATTCAAATTGCCATTTTTATCAGTGGAGAGGGCTCATAAGTTAATAGAGGAAAGTACCTGTTAAAAGGTTCGATACTCATGATGATGATGAATTAACTTGGGATTCAATTGCTCAAGTGCTGGTGTAGCTATTACATGTGAGCTGATTTTTTTCAGTATTCGACTCGAGCAGGACTTCGCAGAGAGCGATCTGAGAATCGTGGGAGAAAAGGAACAGAAAAAATGGAGCGAAAGAGGGACATTGGCCGTCATAAATAGACGAAATAAAGCGCACCAAATGCTATTAGATAATTTGCGGGTCGGTTTATCTACATTCTATCGGGTTCATCCGTAAATGGGCTTTCATTGGCCCGCTTTATTGGGCCTCCGTAAACCCTTCTGGGCCTAACTTTTTGAATCAAAATTTGGGCTGGCCCATGGGTTCATCAGCCCAATTCTATTCCGATTGAATTATTCAATTATCATAATGTTAGAAATTGATAATTGAACTCTTTAAAAATACATTTTTTTTGTCATATTATAAATTCAATCCAATAAAAACGTGACACGTATAATTCATATTTTTAAAATTTTAAATTTATGTTTGTTTTTTCTCAATATTTTTTTTTTAATTTTCAATACGCGACTTAAATAAAGTTTAATTTTTAAAAAATAAACAAAATATATCCTAAAAAATGAATGATTAATGTATAAACTATTGGGTCGAGGAAGAAGAAGAACCACAAATCATGCATTATATTTATTTTTTGGTACGACAAAATGTCCAATTTATGTGGTGCACCGCCCCTAAAGTTTTGATATTTATATTCAATACCATAATGTCTATTTTTGCTGCTCAATATATTCTCTGTCTCACTTTCTATAAATATGGTTCAAGCACGATTCTTCTTTTTTCCTTCCTATATATCATTGGTAACAAGAAATCAAAACGAGTCATGATTAGGTTAAAATACATTGAAAGGGTGAGAAATCTCGGAAATTATCGAATCTTTAGAATGATGGTCAGTAGAGTTACGTTGGTCTTATTAGATTCGATAGTGCATAGTTGTTCACGAAATGTACCATGGAACATTCGTCGACGGTAGGAGCTTGACATATGAGCGATGGGTTAGACCAATCCAATTCGTCTAATTCTAAGAATGACTTCGAGAAAGATGACAACCCAGTCTTCTGTCTGGTGCTCGAGCTCCTGTTTTGCTTGTGTTCTTCATTGATGCTTGCGGGGAATAGAAATTAATTAGTGGAAGTCGTGTATTATAAATTCCACGAAGGGACAGGTGTTGGGCATGCATATGGCAATATATTTGATTATAATCATATGATATGTATATGAAAGGTCTAAATTAATCTTGACTAACCACTTTTATTCTATGAATTTTCCAATTAAGGGTCCAATCCCACCTTGTTGTCTACATCTTCTTGGCAGCTTCAATGCTTCTCCTTTGGGGGTTTTTTAGTCATTTCCTTATTGCCCCTATGTTCTATCAACAACACTGACTATATATGCACACCTTTTTTCTTTCTTGAAGTGACAATATATTTGATTTGGTATCATATATATATAAGGAATTCCATTATATATAGACAAAGTTACGAACACACGAACTTAACGTTTACCATCTTTGAAGATTCGAATTCTTCCATTACAATTGTCCACTTTTATTATAAAAGTCGATCAAAATTGTTAGGAACCATGGATCTCCACAAATGGTATGATACTCGTTTTGATTGTGGTTTCTCGAAATGGTCTCATACCAATGTAGGACTCCCTCCCAACCATCTTCCTCTTGAACAAAGTACACATAGAGCCTCCCCTGAGGTTTATTATGGAGGCCTCAAACTCAATCGAGGCTGTCGAACAAAGTACACCATAGAGCCTCCCATGAGGCTTATGAAGCCTTCAAACAGTCTCTCCATAATCGAGGCTCGACTTCTCAAGTTGTTATTATTGCTTCATTTGTTTGTTTCGACATATTTTGATTGTGGGTCACGTCCAATAAGAATAACTCCATCCCCTCGGAGAAATATGATCTAAATGAGTTTAGGGTTGGCATTAAAATTGGCATCAGAAGAAGCAATACTGATCTGACACTAGCGCTCAAAAAACATACACATAACCCACACAGATATTTTAAAGTGGCATAAGGATAAAGAACAAAACATGGACACATGGACTTTCTTTCCCATCATCACCGCCTTTAATTTAAGTCATTAATACACAGCCACACCAGATGAACTCAAATTTCAAAACTTTTTAAATTTTTTGAACAAAAAAAGTGTCAAAATCAGAGCACTGTGCATAGAAATAGGTGACACAATTGGGTTAAGAACAAAAAGTGGTGCCCTACAAAGGCATATCCAAAGTACTGTGGAGCAGTCTGAGATGGGGTGGGGGGGAAAATGGGCTTATGTTCATCCCCTCCAAGCCTGAAAACGCACATGAATCTGAGCTCAAAAATGGGGGTTTCAAATTTCAGCCACAAATATGAGTCCTTTTCTGTTCATTTCTTTTCTAGGGTTTGTTTATGTGATCATACTCATGCTTCTTACCTTTCACTATCACCCACTCTCCCATTCAAAGAACCTTTTTTTTTTTTTTTTTTTCCTTTTTTCCCTTTGTTTGAAAGCTTATCTTCTTTCAAATGAAAGCAACCCTGGAACAACCCAATTGCCCAGCTCTGCAATAACATCATGAGTGGTCATCAGTAATTATGTCAGGCTAAAGAGAGAGAGAGAGTGTGTGTGTGGGCGGCATGAATATATGGAAAGGGATTTCTAGGGATTAGGCCAGAAAGGGGTGTCTTTTTTCCTTAGGGTTTAGTTAATAATATTGCCAAAGGAAGATGAAGAAACAGTGAAATGGGTATGTGAGATGAGAAGTGAGGTTTCTTTTTTTAGGGTTTGCCCATTTTGGTGATTGGTTTAGGGTTTTGGAGATAGACAGGCATATGACAAGTGGGAAGTACAACCACAAAAATTTCCTTTTAGTGAGAGGGAAAGGGCAAAAGAGACCCGTCTCTCATGACCCAAGTCTATTTCGAGTAGATATTGTCTTTTTTTGTGTGTGTGTGTTTTTTTGTGAGATCTAGTAATTCACCCTCCTTCGTGACCCAGTATTCCACTAGCACTTGTTTTTTTCTCTAATTGATGTGAGACCCTAAACCCTAAACACTCATTATTTCCTCTAATTAATGTGAGACCCTCAATTTAACTCCTTCAGGGTCTAGCGTCCTCACTAGCACTCGTTCCCTTCTCCAATCGATGTGGGACCCTCCCCCCAATTCTCCTCCTTTGGGTCTAATGTCCTTTTTGGCACATCTCTTCGTGTCCTCCCCTTCGAGATTCAGTCTCCTCGTCAGCGCATCCCCCGATGCTTAACTGTGATAACACTCACCATTAACAGATATTGTCTTTTTTAAACTATCTGTTCAAGATTTTCTGGATCATTAACCGATATTGTCTTTTTTAAACTATCTGTTCAAGATTTTCTGGGTCGAAGAAAAAGTTGAATAGATAAGGACGCATGGAGTAGCAATAACAACATTCTCTCCCAAGTGAGTTGAGAGAAAAAGAGAGATAAAGAAAGAGAGAGATGGGGTTTCTACTTTTTGTTGAAAGCGACAGTAGGGAAAGAGAGAAATTATTAGTTTCTTAGAGGAAAAAAACCAGTCAACACAGAGATAGACCCATTGCTTCTCTAGCCACAGGCTAATTCAGAATTGTACACTGCTACACGAGATAGAAATAATTGTCCTTTCACTTGTAAGCTTATATATATACATATACATATCCCTATCTTCCCACATCCAACAGCCAAATTACCTCACATATTGCAAACACTACATTACAACAAAAACAACAACAATACAAACCCACACATCACCCCATAAAAGGGTATGTTTTGCAGCAATAATACATACCCATCTTCCAAAACTGATCCAAAATGAAGCCCCTTTCATGCTTTTCGCCGGAGGTTGACCGGTGGAGGACTGAGCAGCTGTGTCTGTCACTGTCATCCTCTACTAGCCACGTGAAGTGGCACAAATACTAGGTCACTTCTCTCCACTCACAACTCTAAAGATCCCACCTTTTTTATCAAAACAAACACCCCTTCTTCTTAACATGTTCTTCTAGGGTTTCTTCTTTGTTCTTCAGAATTCCAAATTAAGGAACAAAAAGATATGTTTTTGTTCAATGCTAATGACTCCATCTCTTTCCCTGACCATTCTTTTCTCCACTTTCCTTCTCCATTTCATGATGATCCCACCCTTCATGTTCTTCAACAACCTCAAAATGACATTTTGCTTCATCAAATTCTATTGAATGAACCTCCATCAAATTTCGTAAGCGATTTTGGATCGGAATCAACGAGAATTATTGTCGATGATGAACACCATCATCGTGTTCATCAAAGCCTGATCATCGAGCAGCCGAATCAAAGAAAACAGGCTTCTTCAAAGAGGGATAGGCATAGTAAAATCGACACGCTTCGTGGACCGAGAGATCGTCGAATGCGACTCTCGTTACCGGTGGCTAGGGAATTTTTTGGTTTACAGGATATGCTTGGTGTTGACAAAGCTAGTAAAACTGTTGAGTGGTTGCTATTTCAAGCTAGACATGAAATCAAGAAGCTTTCATGCCATGACCGCGGTGGCAATGGCGATATGAGGAGTCCATCCATTTCGGACGGAGAAGTCGTGTCTGGGATTGACGAAACGATTGTCAATAGTAAAATCGACATGAAGGAAAGTCGAAAAGCGACCAAGAAGGAGAAGAGAGGTTGGGTTGCGAGGAAGACGACGTACTACCCTCTTGCGAAAGAGTGTAGAGAGAAAGCAAGAGCAAGAGCGAGAGCAAGAACGATCGAGAAACAGCTGCAAAGTGGAAAGAAAACGTTGTCATCGGATCAAACGAACACAAATAAGCAAATTGAAGGAAGAATTCAAGATGTTGTTAGAACAAGTTCATCATGGAGTACCCAAATTGATGATCAGCAATTAAGAACAAGAAATGATGAAACAGATGATGGTTTGATGATGATGGGGAGGTGGAGCCAAGAGGTAAGTTCCAAACAGCCACAAACTTAATTGTTTTTCATGCATTATCAAATAAGTAAAGTCCAAGAAATTTTTGAAGTACAGATTGTTGTTCATACGTTTGTGACCATTTTGTTATAATTGGGGCTTACATTTCAGCATCCATTTGGAGACTTCCAATTCTTTGGAAAACCATGGGAGCCCGACAACAATCATGGCATATGTAGCTGAGATTCATCCCTTAAATACTTTCAAGTGTGTCCAATAATGGTAAAGTTTTAGAATGCTTTGTGTTTCCCTTCCCCTTTCCTCTCTATTTGGAGTGTATAATTATACAAAACATCTTCTTCTATCTCGGACCCGTAAATAAAATCTCTTAGATCTCGTTTGACAACGACTTCGTTTTTAGTAAGCAAGCTTATAACATATAAACATATCATGTAACAACCTAAGCTCACCATTGACATATATCGTCTTTTTTTAGCTTTCTCTGACTTAGAGAGGTTTTTACACGTTTATAAGGAATGTTTTGTTCTTCTCTTCAACGTGGATATTATTTAAAATGGGTCCGACAATAAGTGCATTAGAGTAGAGAGAAGGGTGGTGGGCAAGCTTTTAAGAAAGGATTGAATGACCCATGATTTAATAATTATCCACTACACAGTACAAACCAAACCCATATGTTGTGTAACTCTTACATTCACACAAACTAAGAAACAATTTTCAACATTCCAAATGATTTTATGGCACGACACTTTTACTATGTTAATTAATTACATGGTATTTGTTTTCTTAATTATTACGAATAAATATATTAAGTTTTATGGTTATTGAATGATATTGGAAGAAGAGGAACATAGCTTGTTTCTTGAGCCAATAATATTGTAGCACTTTATATGAAAAAGGAATGGGCTATTTGTTTCTGTTTATGGTATGGTAGTTTGTTGAAAGATGATGGAGAGCCCAAGGGTAGTTATTTTTTAGCTCTGGAGATTGGAAAGGAGTACATGTAAATTACTGTTATACTCACTTTGACTAAGAGTCTTTCTCGGGTCAATTCGTATTTTTAGTTATATAAAACAAACTGGAAAATCTGGGTAGGCACGCTCTTACTCAACAGATCAAAGGTACGGGAGGATAGCATGCTAATGACTCTAAAGAGCTCTTACCGACAGAGTCGTTTGATACCTTAAATATCTCAAACTAGTCGAGATAGGAAAATAAGAAACATTGAAAAACATGTATAGATGGTTAGTTGACAACTCTCGAGTTAGTTTAGCAACTCAACCGAAAAATGAAAAATGTCGGTAGGATACTATATTCTAAGTAGGTGGTCGTAATAAAAGTAGAAATCCATTTGAAAATCTAATTTTCAGAATAATTAAGGAAGAAAAATAAAAAGTAGTTATGAATGTTAGTTAATCAACACCTAAAGCAAACAAATATTATAATTCCCCACATCCATTTATAATTAGCTAATTATGATAATATATTTCCCCAACAAGTGAATTAAGAGGTATTTTAAACATTATTTTTTTATTTAATTTGTAGTTTTCCGAAATTAGGTTTAAATTCCTGTTTTCTGTGTTTGAAAACTTACATAAATATTTAAATTAACATCCACTATTTAATTAAATAAATATACAAACAAAAAGATATAATTTACGTTATGGAAATGAATTAATTTCAATATTTCAAAATCAATTTTCTGAAAAAAAATTAAAATTTAGGGCTAAAAAAGAGAAAAACAAGAAGAACAATAAATAATTTATATATTTAAAAGAAAAGAAAAAGAAAATTTACCTAGTTGGGAATGGCAGAGCTTGAAGCTGGAGAAATCTGAAGCAGGCTCTGGAAGTAGACGAAAGCAAGCCCCTGTTTCAAAATCATGAGAGAGAAGAGACAAACTGTGTTTTTTTTTTTTTTTTTTTTTTTTTTT